TCTTCTCCTGGAAGGAAGGCCAAGAGAAGCCAGAAATCCACACAAGCCATTAACCAAAGCCATAATAATGCTGAGAGGGTGGCACAAAAAACCACAATCATGTGAATATGCACATAAACTTATATTTTAAGTGTGTAGCCAAACAGGGGGTTTCAACTGGGTTTTTATTATAATTCTTTCAAGAAAAGGGAGAGAAGGAACCTCCTGTTAGGCACATTCCTTCAAGAGTTCACAGCTCAGGACTCCATGATTCAGGACTTTTCAGCTCCTTACCACCACTGCAACTGCAGAGAACTATGCTTCAGGTTTATTCAGTTGAACCTAATGAAACTTAGGTTTCTGCTAAGGAAAAGAAAGAGAAATTTATTCCACAAGCAGAATTTCACCTTTCTATTTAATGTCCTCTCAACTACACGCTTCAAATCCCCGTGGTCATTTCACTTATAGAAACACCTCAGCCCAAAGAAAGAGGAAAGCAAGATCCCCAGGGGGTTGGAATTCTGTCTCCTGTGACCTTCTGTTTGTGAATTATTAAACCTTGCCTGTCACTTCTGCTGACATTTTACCTCATTACAACAGGATGCCAGTGAAATGTAGAGCAGCCATTACTATCTCCTAGCAATAAAGGCAGCAGTTAAATAGCACGTGCTTGTGCTTAACCCAGACCAGGTAACAAAATTCCCTGAAAATAAGTGCATCACACTTGACAAGAGGAATTGTACTTGTGTAATAGTATTTCAAACTAAAAATAAGCAAAGGTACATTACATTTTCTGAACTGACACTTTAGAACTGATTGTAGACATTTATTCCCTGTCCAGAATTTTTTTAACTTTAGAAAAATTGAAAGGCAAAGCTATTAAAGAGACAGAAAGAGCAAAATGTCATTTTGATCTCAAACTAGGTGACTTAGCAAGATATCACTGCTAGATTTTAGTTCTTGCTCTTTTTGCCTCAGATATCATATAAGAATGCAAAGTCAGAAAGGAATGTAGAAGCACCCAGGCTCCTAAAGCAAGAACACAGGCAGTTAAGAGTTCAAACATCCCACAGAGTGTGTTTTAAAGAGCACTAAGAGTTGGCGTAAATGTTCTTGCAGTAGTCTAAGGCGACATCTCCAGGCATATCAGCAAATCCACTTAGAACAGAATTCATCCCATGACCCAATTACAACACAGTTTTATTTTGGAGATCACTCAGCTGTGCCTCATCAACAAAACAAGAGTCTGGAGCTATCCCAGTGCAAGTCTGGTTGCAGAAAGCTTTCACACATACAAAGTCATAATTATGTTAAGTCAGCGCAATTTTCCCTCCTACAAATGCCACACCCTGATTTAAAAAAAAAAAAAAAAAAGCAGAAGAGAAAAGTAATGGCTCTCTATTGAAAAAATGGGTCACCAGTAACCTAAATTCTAGGCGATAAGAGATGGGAAAAGAGCTAACTAGAAACTAAAGAGATAATTCAAACAAGGTTCAACTTTAGGATACCTCTTTGCAATTGCTGTTACTAAGTGAATCTCAAATTGTATTCAGAAATTTTAGTCACATATTGTTCCCTTTTCTCTCTTGCCACTGCTGTCTACATCAGAAGAAGTGAGGTGACTCCTTCATTCACATTAACAGCAGCAGAATCAAATTGCAAAAGGCTTTCTTTTCAGTTGAATCTGTACTCCAAGGAGTACATATCAACCACACTTATAAAATACTTCCAGATTTATCTCACTTCAGACATATTTCTTCATTATAATTTTTAGAGCTGAACAGGGTGAAGCAAACAGACCATTAAGCCAATTCTCGTTCATCCAAGGATAAGACTTACAGAATTGTAGTCCTGGAATTTAACAAACATTGCTTGTTAATTTTAAGAAGGTCACTGGTGGCTAAATAAAAATGCCCAAAGACTAACAGAGATGCTGAGAGGTTTTTAAAAGGAATTTTAAACTTACCCATCTTCTCTGGTTCACAAGTATAGCTAAAATAATTAGCAAAGTATTTTGTCTTTTTTCTCCTCAAAATCAAAATTATGTTGCATTTATAAAAAATACTCAAGCCCGGCAGGCACATTCCTGACAACCTCAACTACAATCAAGTTTTTAAAATGTGGAAAGGGCTTTTTGCCAGACAACAGTACCACTTTTGAAGTTTTCAACTTCTCTTAATCCATGGGCTCTTAATATATTGGAAATTGAGCTTATTGGCAACAGGCTGTTTTTCTTCATTAACTTTGGGAGACACTGAGGAAATATCCCAGAGTTCCAGAGTTCAGAAACTGAAAGCCACTAACTGATGCATGTCTGGACCCCAAGCAAGCATCCAAATGAGGGCAGGACCGCTGTAGCTAACATCCAGTTTTGTAGTCTCTGTAGACTCAGTCAAGATTTTTGCCCCTTGAAAATTCTGCTCCTCTTATATGATGACATCTGCAAGTCAGAAGCTGAAGCATATTTGGAATGCAGCATGTGGGAAGCTCTAAGTATTCCTGTACACTGCGTAGTTACTGTGCAAAAGGGCAAAGTCCATTGGTCTCTGAGATTCTAAAGCACATACATGCCATAAGAAACAAGTTTCCGTCACAATATTTCAAAAGCTTACAGTAAATTAGAATTACTTTTACCTGAGTGTTTCTACACTAATAATTTCATGGTAAGTCTCCAAATGGACTTTCCCAAATAAGACAGACAGTCTAGCACTTACCATAAAACAGCAATATCAAGCTTATAATTTTCTAAAGCATTAGGACAGTTGTGCCATGTTTACCTGAAAGCCAAACTTTAAAATGAAGCTGAGCAATTCCAGTTGCAGCCAGTTCCAGTGGAAGAAAGTCTAACACAACACAGTATTTGCAAGTAACAGCCTGTAGATGGCCCAAATCTAAGATCTCTGCTCTCTCTCCATCATCATGTATCCCACAGCACACTAACCAAACAATATGCATTAAATTTTTGACTGGTAATATTCTACTCTGTCCATCAGAAATTAAATACTTCCAATATCTTTATGTGTATTTTTCCCATTGTTCAATAGTAAAGGCATTCCACCCCTGGGAGAAAAAATGGCAAAAAAAAGAAAAAAAAAAAAAAGGCAAAAAAAAAAAAGCTGCCAACCAGTTCTCAGGTACAGCTTTGTTAAGCTTTACCTGTAGGATCTTCATTGCCATGAAGTGCCAATTATTACGTATCACATTTACCTTTCCATAAGATCCACTGTGTGGACAACTGACAATTATTTCACCAAACAAGAGTTCTAGTAACCAGATTAACAACTCCTGGATAATTTTACTATTTTTGTCTAAGAATACAGACATTTGTCTTCCTCAAATTTATTACAATGCTGATGAATGCTTCAGAAAAATTAACACCTCTAAAAATAACAAGCCTTACAGATCTATTTTAAAGCTATGTACCTTTCTTTAGGTTTGTGTATTCTAGTTTTCTTACCTTAAGCATGGGGACTAAGAAGGCTAAAGAAATGGATGTTTCTTTAATAATGTTTATTTAATAAACTGGGATGGGAGGGAAGCAGCTATCCCATGACCTGCCATTATTGTTAGCCTGTTTCTGGGGGGCACCCAGCAAAGCACATGAGACAAGTTTCTCAGCAGAGAGAAACTATGCCAGTAGAACTGTTATCAGAAGAGCAGTGTTATTTCCTGTAGTGTCAACTTTGTCAAACTTAAACGTCTACTGTGCAGAGAAACTTACACATATCTGGACATCATTTCCTTAAAAATTGTTTCCAGAACTGCTAGATAACCCGAGGCTTTTCAAGTCTGCATGAAGAAGTAATCTAATGTTCCATAGCATATTTGGTGGATCCAAGCAATTACAGGACCCTTTGAAACTCTATTGTTGCTTTTCATCCTCCTTAATTACCAAATGCAACAACGTATGTAATAGAAAATATTTCTCTTTTTGAGAGAAATATTTTTGAGAAAATATTTCTGTTTCTCTTCTACACTGTGTTCATTATCATTTCACTACCCAAAGATTAGGTTTCTCACTTTACTTCTTCCTATCCAAACAGAGGCACAAAGATAGATTTTCCTGGTTTTACAATCACGCCAATTCTGCCAAAATCCATTTTCTCTGCTTGCCAGTACACTCACATTTAATTTCAAATAATTTTGATTTTGAGCTACTTAAGTGCCACAAGCATAAAGTCTTTCCAAAACCGCTTCTCCATAGTTCACAGCTCTTTTTCCTATTACATCAGTTGCGTTCGTTTCAGTTATTCCTCCTTTTTTCCTTGCAAAGGCACAACCAGAGTGATACTAAATACCCAGAGAGCTTCATTAGGAGGAGCAGAGGGGCTGAATAACACGGCGAAAACGCTTCACAGCAGCGCCCAGAAACCAAGCGTGGACCGAGACACCAGGAAACGGTTTAATCTAAAAGCATTCAGATGATGCATACCAACTTTGATGAACGAAGCACATAGAACACACCCGCACATAAAGCGGCGGCGCGGCTGCCGCCCGCCAGCGGGACGCAGATGTCACCGGGGCAGCGCCGACCCGCGTGGCCGCTGCCGTGCGGCTCCGCTTGCCCGGGCCCCGCTGCGGCCGCTCATTCCGGCACCGGGCGCTGCTGCCACGCGAGGCAGCCCCCGCCCGGGTCTGCTCGGCCCCGGGGACGCTGCCGCCCCAGCCCCAGCCGCAGCCCCGCTCACCTGTGGGCGGCGGGACCGCCGGATCCCCCCGCTCCGTCCATCGCGGCCCCGCCGTTGCTATGGGCCTCCGCCCGCCGCTGCCCTTAGCAACGGCGCGCGGCACTGAGGCGCGTCGCCATTGGCCGCGGCCGCGAGCACGCCGCCCGCCGATTGGCCGCGGTGCCGCGCACGCGCGGCGGAACGCAAGGGCCGCCCCCGTCCCTCGGTGCGGGGGCCGCCCGCCGCCTCCGCCGGGAGCGGGCAACAGTCCCGGCGGGAACTGCGCGGGGCACAAAGCCCTGCCAGACACACTTCCCCACGGAAGTCCGCCCCAAAAGACCCCACCTGGACCCTCCCCCGCGCCCGCCCCGGCGCTTCTCGGCGGCTCTGCCCGGCGCTGTAGAGGGCCTGGCTGAATGACGTCCCCTGCTGAGCTCCGAAGCGCCAGCCTCTGTTCGGGCGTGTCCCTGCACGCAGCGAGTGGCGGCTCCCGCCGGGTCAGGTGTGGGCCTGCCTTCTCGGGAGCTCCATGTCTGCCTTCACCAGGATGTCCGCGGCGCTCAGCTTGCCCTGCTGCCGCAGGTGCTTCATTATGTGCGGCCGCCGTCTCCAGGTGACCTTGAGGCCGTACGCGTGCTCCGGAGTGTCTGTAACCAGTACTGCTGCCGCCTCCCCTCTCCCACAGGGATCAATACCCAATGGCAGCTCTGCTTCTGGATGCCAGGCATGAGTGCTTTGTGACAGAGTGTTGCAGCATTCCCCATTCCTTGGGGAAGGAACATGTGCAGCCTCTGCATCCGATGGATTAGGGACTTCTTGCTCCACAGGCTGGGGAGCAAGCTCTCCACAGTCCTCTGGACTCTGCACCTGGATGTTGGAGTTTGCTGCTGTCCCTTTCTTAGGCTGGTTGGGAGAGCATTGTGCGTTCTTTCTCAAGCAATTTGGATCATCCAGCGGAGGGACTGCATGTCCTTCTGGATTCTCAAAAGTTAAAGGAGGAAATCTGCAGGCTACAGCTCCTCGACAAGCTCCTCCTGCATGAAATGAACTGTGGTTGGCATCCTGATTATAGGGCTTGTGAGGATCACGACGCTTCTTCTGGCAGGCTTTCAACACCACTGGCTTAGTTGTGTCAAATTGTGGGCACACCTGAAGGGAAAGACATAATAAGATAAGAAACCCAACCCTTTCCTACAGACAATTCTACTTCCCCACCTTTATTCAATGTGTTCATTGAGTAATTTGCAGCAAAGCAAATGAGTCATTAAGAAAGCTGCTATACATGAGATACCTCTGAATTTCAACACCATGTTCTGCCACTTTTCTCTGGAAAGTCATTGGGGTGCAAGTGAGCTGCTTTCTGGCAACTCACAAAGAACTCAAGATTTGGGTTTTAAAGGAAATTTAAGTGGTGTCTACACATGTAACCCGTGCAGATTTAAGAAAGTTCAGAATGGATCATTTTTCTGTGTCTTAGCATAACTCAAATAGATTCAAAGAACTAAATCCTCAGCCTCCCCAGAGAAGTAGAGGCTGACCTGGGACAGCAACACAAAATGATTGAAGAATGCCCATTTAGCTCAATCCCCTTAGATAGGCTAATATGGTGTTCAAAATCTTCCCCTAAATATATTTGTTTCAAAACATAGTTAATTTTTGTATTGTGAAGTAACAGATCACCCAAAATCCACTTCTACAGTCAGCTTCCTGTAGAAAAGATGGTCCAAGCTCAACAGTCTGTATTTCTTTGAATTATTCTGGACTCATACTCAAACCCTGGAAATCCTTTTATTACCATGTTCTTTGTCTCCCTGGTTGTCAACAAAAGAGTCTGACTCTGTTTCAGATTCCAGTTTTCTTTTCCCAAGAGCACACCAAACTGAGTTCTTGCTACAGTAACTAGAGGTCTCCTTCAGCATTCCTAAGTTACTATACAGTTCCTCAAAACACTGAGTACAATTTAACTAAGGATAGTGATTGTCTGATGTACAGCTGAACTGTTTGAATCCAAAGCCATTGTGCAGGAAAAGAGAAATGATTCTGTAATAATTGTATACCAGCACATACTTAACATAGTCCCTGATTTTAAAGATATGTCTTCCTGGCTTTAGAGAACATGTAGGGTAGGTTTTACCTATGCAGGAACCTAGTAGCGGAAAAGGTATGAAAAACTTGAATAATGCCAAAAAGAGAGAAGCAGAAAATCAGTTTCCATTTAAACAAGTTGACAGACACTCTGCAGAGGATGCCTCCAGAAGTTACAAACCTACCACAGTTTCCAAACTGAGAAATATTTAACAGTTTCGGTACTGATAGCTTCAAACAAATTTTAGAATACTTGTATTTTAGGAATCAAAGAACTACCAGAGTGGATGTTTCCACCTCTTCCAAGCAAAATGAATGCTTATTCACAGCAGTTATTTTACTTAGTGATTCACAAACTGTAGAGCTAACTATCTCAAGCAGACACAAAAAAAATTTTAAAGAGGAAAAAATTGAAGATGTTCTACTTCAAGGTTAAGGCATCACAAAAATACCTGCAGGTCAACAGGAACAAAGGAATGTTTCATGCAGGTCTGAAACCACACTTCCTGAGCTTGCTTTGTGAAGAGCAGAGGCAAGCAGCAATAACGTTTAAACAGAGCTCCCCTAGGTGATGACTACTGTTGCACAGGAACAGTCTGTCTTTGCTGCAGCTGTTTGCTTAAAAAAAAAAAAAATCTTTACATTACACGATCTAAGGAGTATTTTAGGACATGGCAAACAGTCCCAAGAAAAGAAACCCATCAGAAAATTGGTATGGAGAGAAACTACTCAAAACAGAAATGGAAAAGAGGGCAAGTTAGAACAAATCATTCTGAAGTGAAAACCTATGTTCTCCAAGTTTAGCAGTGTCAGATTTAAACAATACACCCAGTACTTCAACACTGAACATTTAGAGTTCAGCAGTTATTTCAAACAGCAAGCCGATAAGACAAATCTCCCCTAACACTTATTTCATGCAGGGTTTTTGGTTGCCAAGGAAAACAGTGTTTTCCTGATGGGAATAATTTTTCTCAAAGATATATATTCATTACTCAGTAAACATTGCACACAGTTTATGTCTTTAAGTAACCAAGACCTTAGTGCTTATTCTTAGAATGTAAAGCAACTCAAGCACTTATTTATGCTTTAGACTGATAGAGGGAATTCAGGTCTGGAGTAATAATTTTCCATATCCAAAAGAGATAAACTTTCTGTTAAGACATACGGGAGAAACTTGAAAACTGTTGCTGTGGGATGCAGGAGGAAAGATAATTTGTACCAACCCAGGCAGCAGACGTGTTCAGGTCCACAGGTTTTGTAGGCACACGTCTGGGATTCTCAGCCAGATGCAGTGGAGCTTCATAACAGTGGATGGGTCCTGCCCGTGGCTTCTCAAGGAAAATCAGCTCTGCCTTCCTAGCCTTGTGGGTACACTTTTTCTTCGGAGGCATCAAAAGGTGTGGTAACACCACTTAGAAACCTCATGATGCTTGTTGGAGCCAGTTGAAGAAAGAAGGAAGCACCCCAAGGAGATGCTAAAGAGCTCTTGAATCTGTAGAAGGCAAATAAATGGATTTGAAGACAGACTTGTTTGGAAACCTCAGATACAGTTTTTAACAAAAGCAGAACAAATGTGCAACAGCACAGCGTACACATCTCAAGGCAAACTTTTTCCCAACAGTAGTTCTTGAACCTTTTGTCAATTTTCAGGTAGATCTAGAAATGCACTGCAGGAATGGGAGCAGATGACCATTGATCCAGCTATGTCAAATCAGCCATGAAAAGAAAAAAAAAAAACAACAACCTGTCAGGACCCAGGATATCTCTGGATGCCCTGGGTGTCTCAAAGCTCTGGCAGAGGCAGACCAAAAGCGAGAGTCCAGACTACTTCTTTGAAAGTGCGGCCTGCCCAGAACCACCTTTTCCCATGCTAGGGCAGAGACCACTGGCAGCTGACCCCGGCAAAAAACTATTTTATTTTTTTCAATTTAATCTTGTTTGTAATGCCAAGATATTGTAGGGCTAAGATAATCAGAACTCTTTCCCTTTCTGGTTGCTAACTACCTGTACATTTTAATTTCAAGAGACTTTAAATTTGTTTTTTTCTTTTTTACAAAACACAGTTGACATCTCCCTCCTATATTCTACAGATCTTGCATGATTTGTTTGTTTTGCCTAATGAATAAGTTTGAACTGAAGTAACATTGTATTTAATATTCTGTTGGAAAACACATCACAGAACCAATTAGTTTGGAAGACCTCTGAGATCATCAAATCAACCCATAGCCACACACCACCATGGCAACTAGACCATGGCACTAAGTGCTACACCTTCAGGGACAGCGACTCCACCTCCCTGGGTAGCCCATTCCAATGTCTAATCACCTTTCCTGTGAAGAACTTCTTCCTAATGCCCAACTGAAGCCTCCCCTGGTGCAGCCTAGGACGATATTTCCTTGTTCCATCACTAGGTGCCTGGCAGGAAAGGCCAATCCCCACCTGGCCACAGCCTCCTTCCAGGCAGTTGTAGGGAGCAATAAGGGCCCCCTGAGCCTTCTTTTCTCCAGGCTGAGCATCCCCAGCTCCCTCTGCCACTCCGTATGGACTGGTGCTCCAGACCAGCTCTGCTGTCCTTCTCAGGGCCCACTCCAGCACTCAGTGTCCTTCCTGAAGTGAGGGGCCCGGAGCTGGACACACCGAGTGCCCCAGCAGTGCCGACTAGAGAGGAACGATCCCTGCCCCGGTCCTGCTGCCCCCACTACTGCTGACAGGGGCCAGGTGCTATTGGCCTTCCCGGCCACCTGGGAACACTGATGGCGCATGTTCACCCAACCTGACTTACCAGAGATCGGCACACACAAGGAAATTTGGCAACATTTCATGAGAAAGGCATGAGACTGCAACAGCCTGACTGCTTACCTAAGTGGCAGCGTGCTCAGGACGCCCCGCTAGCCCGCTGCAGCTGTGACATACACGTTAAACTGTAAAACGCCGTAGCTCTTCACCAGGAGTCAGCGCACAGCCGGCGGCCCAGGCGCTCGGCAGAGCTCCCAGCCGCCGGCAGCACGGCTGAAGGAAGCTGCCAGCACTGTCCCAGCGGGGCCGTCCCGGTACAAGGGCAGGCGGGACAATACGACCCCAACAGCAGCCCGGCCTGCGTCCCGCCCGCACATCCGTATCCCTCGCCGCCGCCGCCGATTGGCCCGCCGAGGCCCCGCCCCCTGCGCGCCGATTGGCCCGACCCGGCCGGCCCCGCCCCCGCCGCCGCTCACTGGCGCAGGCCGGCACGTGACCGGGCCAGAGCTGCGCCGGGCGCCAAATTCAAACCGGGGCCGCCGCCCTGCATCGGCCCTGCCCCGGCCCCGCAGCTGCCGAGCCGCGACCGGTGCCCGCCACCACCCTTCCGGGCCCCTGGCAGGGGTCGGCACCCCTCGGAGGGCCGCGCTAAGGCCTCCGCGCGGGCGGGAGCGGGCAGCGCCTAGGCCCGGCCCGGGCGGAAGGCCCCGCGGGAGCAGGTGAGCTTGCTGGCCAGGGCGGCAGCGCTGGGGCTGGGGCGGGCGAAGAAGGAGCTGGGAGCGCTTTGGCGCTGCCCTCCCTGCCCCTCGGGGCTGCGCGTACACAGCGCTGCGCCCGGGTCTGTACAGGGGTAGCAGATCGGGGCCTCCCTGGGAAGTGACGCGCTCCTGTTCCTGCTCACGGGAACGCAGCCTGTGGGAGGCTGGCTCCGGTTCTTCCTTTGGCGCTGTGTCTCCTTAGGGGGTGGAGCGGATGCAAAGGGCCATGCTTGTGACGGCTGCCAGAACCCGCGTGGAGTGATCGCTGGGCTGTCTGCTCCCTGTACAGAGGGCATCAGCTCGGCTTGTTATCTGCTGGACTCTGCTTTCTATCAGTGTAGGGGATTCTTACTGAGAATTTACTCGTTTTCTTGCTGACCCTGTCAAATCTACCAATGTAAAAGGCCTCCTTTTTTTAATATTTTTTTTTATTCGTTTCTATTCTGCTTGCCATCTCTAATGATAAACAATAAGTACAATTTGTATATTGTTCTGGTATAGTTTGTAGAAGGGCACAGGGTCCACTGAATTCCTGATGGCATTATTAACAGTATTCTTACAGCATCTTACCTTGGAAGCAGTATCTCTGAATTTTATTTCCTCTGCTTCCAGCTTTATAGTCTAAACCACCCATTGTCCAAAAGTTTTACATCTATATTGTATGCTGTCCAATGACAAATTTATGTGTTTCTATACAAATCTATGAAAGGATTTAGAAGCACATTTACTTGGTGTCTAGCTTAAAACACCTTAATTCTGCTGCATTTATTGTGTGTTTATTGTGTGCCTTTGTAGCGTTCAGGGTAATCTCTGCTTCTCATACCTTAAACCATCTGTAAATTCCCTTTTCATGTAGGTTATGTAATTTGCTGCTTAGAGCAATCAGCTGTAAGAATCAGCATGGGTATTTCTGTATTCTATCTCTCCTCCAGCTTGCTGGCTGACGCTGGTTAAATCGCACTATAGCTAAGTGTTTCTGTAAAGCACGTACATACTTTGTTCATTATTATGTACTTCATTATGCAAGTTATCTACTCTGCAAATCTCTCTCCCATCCTGCTTACACAAGGTGTGAGTTAGGGAGGTACAGTATAATTTTTCAGTAGCCTTGTCAGCGTTATTAAATGCTTTCAATTTTAATTTTCCTTTTGTGTTTCTAGCTTTGTAGCAACTGCTGAGAATGTGTGCTCTGTGGGAGGTCTTGAGATGATTTGCTGCACCCTTTATGTTGTACCGTTTGTTTTGCAGGATTTTGTTCCTCTCTCTTTCAATGGAGAGTGACAGTACAGATCAATAATGAGGACCAGCCCTCGCAGGCCCTTAATTCTCAAAAGAAGAAAACTGACCCTCCCACAGAACGATGAATCCAGTACTTCAGCAAGAGATGAGAACAGAGGTCAGGATGAAAAGGCTCCTAAGGAGGAGCACAGGCAGGAAGACCAACACAACAGACAACCCAGAGACAAAAGGGACTGTGGCCTGCAGAAATTCCCAGCAGGAATAAAGATAATTGACCACCCTACAATGCCCAACACACAGGTGGTGGCCATCCCTACAAATGCTGATATCCAGAGCATCATAGAGGCATTGACAGCAAAAGGAAAAGAGTGTGGCAACAATGGACCCAACAAGTTCATTCTCATTAGCAGTGGGGGCACATCCCGTTCAGCAGGTCCAGCACCATCGCAGCATCTCCCATCAGAGAAGAAAGCCAGTGCAGCCATCAAGGCTGCAGTCAGTCAAGAAAGAGAGAAGAATGTTGCACAGACGCCTGCTCTTGCAGGCAGTACAGCGCCCTGGCATTCAGGAGTTGATCCTGTGGTTGGACAGGAGCAGGAGACCAACAGTATGTAGACTTTACCTGTTTTAGTTTTTTGTCCTGACAGACAAGGAGATGTGAAATGGGCCAAGGAGAGCAGCACTTACTTCTTGATTTGCAGTACTTATTAATATTTTGATAATTACAAGATATCTATTTATTGGATTCTAATAATCTACATAGCTTTGCATATGTAGTGAAATCTAAAGGATTATAGTGGACATATTTTTTTGATGGAAGACATCTGAGCTTCTGACTTAAGTTTTGTGTCTTTCTCTTTCTTGAAGTACTAAATGAACATTGTCCTGTTTTGGTTGACAATAGTCTGGTTTGAGTGTTTGTTTTTAAGACTGCAGCTCTTTTCAGAAATTGGGCAACTATATATGAAATCAGGAATTCAAGGTGAATTCCTTCAACAATATTAGTGTTACAATACCATCTTTTAGAAGTGTAGCTGGTGCCTTCCTTTTGGCAGCTGACATGGAAGGGTAGCAGGGTTACTTGTGAGAAAGCAGGGTTATGACAAGGGGAAGGCTGTGCCTGTAGCCTAGCTGGGCTTCAGTAAAGCCTTTGGCACTGTCGCCCACAGTATTATTCTGGAAAAGCTGGCAGTCCCTGGCTTGGTCTGGTTCACTCTTCACTGGTTTAAAACTGGCTGGGCCCAGAGAGTGGTGCTGAGCAGTGCTGCACCCGGCTGGTGACCAGTCACTGGTGGGGTTCCTCAGGGCTGGGGCCAGTCCTGTTTACTCTGTGTGTCAATGTCTGGATCAGGGGATTAAGGGCATTCTCAGTAAATTCACAGATGACACCAAGTTGGGTGGGAGTGTGGATCTGCTGGAGGGCAGGAGGGCTCTGCAGAGGGATCTGGACTGGCTGGATCCATGGGTCGAGGCCAGTTGCATGATGTTCAATAAGACCAGATACCAGATCCTGCAGTTGCATTGCAACAACCCCAGGCAGTGCTACAAGCTGGGGGAAGAGTGTCTGGAAAACTGCCCAGCAGGAAAAGACCTGGGGGTACTGGTCAACAGCAGCTGAACATAAGCCTGTGTGCACTCAAGTGGCCAAGAAGGCCAATGGCATCCTGGCCTGTACCAGCAATAATGTGTCCAACAGGACCAGGGCAGAGATTGTCCACTTGTACTCGGCACTGGTGAGGTCACACCTTGAGTTCTGAGTTCAAATCTGTTTTCAGTTTTGGGCCACTCATTACAGGAAAGACATTGAGGTGCTGGAGCCCATCCAGAGAAGGACAACAGAGCTGATGAAGAATCTGGAGCACAAGTCTGATGAGGAAAAGCTATGGGAGCTGGGGGTGTTCAGCCTGGAGAAAAGGAGGCTCAGGCATACCTTATCACTCTCCACAACTGCCTGAAAGGAGGCTGTAGAGCAGTGGGGGATGCCTTCTTTTCATAGACAGCAAATGACAGGACAAAAGGCATAGCCTCAAGCTGTGCCAAGGAAGGTTCAGATTGGACATCATGAAGAATATGTTCCCTAAAAGGGTTGTCAAGCATTGGAACAGACTGTCCAGGGAGGTTTGGAGTCACTATCCCTAGAGGTGGTCAAGAAACAACTGGATGCTGCAGTCAGTGGTCTTGTTGATAAGGTGGTGTTTGGTCACAGGCTGGACTCAAATGGTCTTAGAGGACTTTTTTAACCTAAATTATTCTGTGATTATTACATGGGCCTGTTATCCCAACAGGCAGTGGCGAGACAATGAGCTCTGTGTTGGACAACAGCCTCACCAACATCCAGTGGCTGGGGAAGATGAGATCTGATGGGCTAAATCCCTCTTCTGTGAAGGAAGACACAGAGAAAGAGAATCAGATGCCTCTGCAGGAAAGAGTCAAGGTGAGTAGGAGAATACACGTGTATGTGCTAAAATTTTTGATAAGGAAGTAATTTACGTGGATCAGAATACTTGGAAGAATTAGGCATCACTGTCTCTAAGTAACCCGAGTTTGACCTTTATTGATAGCAATAGCAGAAGCCAGAGGACCCAGGGATGTTCCATGGGCCTTTTTGTCAGCTTCATGAACATTCATCACTCTTTCAGACTGAAGAGGAAGCTGCTGCTGCTGCTGCTATTCCTACTGTTGCTGAGTCCTCCTCATGGCAGGATTCGGTGTCAGAACGACCTCCTTACTCCTACATGGCCATGATCCAGTTTGCCATCAACAGCACGGAGAAGAAGCGCATGACGCTGAAGGACATCTATACCTGGATTGAGGATCATTTCCCTTATTTTAAACATGTAGCTAAGCCAGGTTGGAAGGTAACAAGCAGGTCCTCAATTTGCTGTGGGTGATGTTACATGCCTTCTGGATCAAAAGCTATTCCCCAGCCTGCAAAGCAAGATGAAAACTCATTTAAACATTCTACCCTAAATACACTCTCAATCCAGATGTTCACTGTTCCACTTCTTGTATCTCTTGTCTCATCCTTCTTAAACAAGATGATGGGATGTGTGATCACTGGAGTGAGAATAGGGATCTCAAGAGTACATAGAATAAGAGACTGATGATAGGGTTGGCTGTGTACACTGTGAACATGAATGTTTGGTGTTGTCTGCACTTTGGAATGTAATCCCTCTGCTAGAGCAGCCATGTTTGAGCCTTGCTGTGCTGATAACAAAACTACTGTTTTCAACCTCCTCCTCACTCCTTTCTCCTCAGAACTCCATCCGGCACAACCTGTCCCTTCATGATATGTTTGTCCGTGAGACATCTGCCAATGGTAAAATCTCCTTCTGGACTATTCACCCTGATGCAAACCGTTGCCTAACATTGGACCAGGTATTTAAGGTAAGTTGCCTCATGTAAAGGAAATAGGACAGGCTATCCAGTTTCTAAATGCCACACTAGCCTGATGCACCTTATTTTAACTGTAAGGTTAAGCTGCTTTGACATCAGCCTCTTTGTGTAGAAGCTGGGTTCAGTCACTTCACTTGACAAATAGACAAGCTCTGCATTTAAAAGAAAAGGTGCTGTGGCTGTGCTTTTGATCTGGAGTTTTCTGTGGGATGTGTTTATTCTTCATGTGTTGTGCCAAATATAATAGTCAGGTTGTTCAACTTCTTCCCATGGGCCTGATTTAAATTCCTAATGAGAAGATTTCCACTGAGGCCAACCAGTTGTTCCTATGCTGTATAAGTCAGTCATAGGATAGAATTGTCCTAACCCAAATAGGTATTTTTGGAAGATTTTGTTAGGGAAATAGAGCTTGGGAGTCTGGTATAGGTGTGTTTAGACTCTTGTGTTTTCTGCAGTGGGTGGGTAGAATTAACTTTTGTTTGCTCAGATTGTACAAGTTTAAAATGTCCCATTTGTCACCCTCTTTGGTTGATAACTTAATCTTAAATTTTTTTTCTGCTCAATGCCTTCTGCCACCAGCCGCTGGACTTGGGGTCACCAACATCGCCTGAGTACTCTGAATCAGTAAGAATTACCATCTGGCTCGGGGCTTGATCTTCCATTCTCTTCTTGCCAGTCACGGAAGGAAAGGACAACAGGCTTGGGGAGGGGGACTGGGTCACTGCTGCATCTGCTCATATAGCTCCATGCTTACCCTTTGCAGGGAGAGGGGTGTAGCCAGTGTTTGACTGCCTTCAGATGGTACAGTCTCTTGAGCTGGTAAAGCTGGACAGCTTTGAGCAACTTGGAAGTCTACTGCTGAAGTAGGCTGCAATGGACACCAATAGGCTTCAGAGAACAAGCCCAAACAGATTTCTGATAAAATCATCTCCATGGCAACAGTTCCAATATGTTCCTGGGGCTCAGATGCAGAGAGAATAGGATCTCTCTGTGCTCCTTTTTCATTTTGGAACCCACTGTATTGTGAGTGACTCTTGGAAAGATGAACCTGTTTGATGTTTCTCTCACATTCAGCTGTTTTAGCAGTGAAGAATTTGTAAACATCCAGTCAAATACTTTTCTGTCCCAGCTACAACCTTGGCCTTCTTTCCATCTGCTCAGAATTCTGATCCCGTTGTTACTTCTGGTATTCCCTTTGAACACCTATCTGGTCCATGGTTTGTATAGACATCCAATATACAATAAAGCCATCCTATTCATTGTTCCTTGGGCACTGAGGGTGCCAAAACCAGCTCACTTCTGCAGTAGAGTCTGCAGTTGGAGCAGCTCTGTCATGTCGTCTCTTTTCCCACACAGCTTTTGGTGGGCAGCTGGCTTGGGGTGGCATGGCTGCAAACCAGCAAGTGGCACAGACCTAGAGCCAGCCTGAGTGCTGGGTGCTAACAGCTGCTCTCTTTGTATTAGTCCAGCACAGACTTCTGGTTTCACAATTCTCAGTGAGGCAGCAAAATAAATGTGGATTCTTTAATCTCTTTCTTTTCTCCTCCTCTTATCTCACAATGACTGCAGCAACAAAAGAATCGTCTCCCAGATCCTCTGAAGAACATGGGAAGCAAAACAGAACCCCAGAATTCACGTAAGTGTCCCCAGCAGTCTAGGCCAAGAGAATCAATTCAATAAACCTGGGGCATTCTCCCAGGTTTCTTCAGGAATACAAGTGCAGTGTGTTATCCCTGTTTGCAAGCTTTTATGCTCCTTATTGTCAGGTTTGAAATGGAAAGCATATTGTTTTGTCTGAGGGGATGTGCTGGTGAGATGGTGGGCATTGGGCACTCATAATGGGATGAGAACCCAAAATTATGGGGTAGGATCTGCATGAAAGGTTATTTTCTTGTTCATGAGGCTTCTGGCTTGGCATTTGTATCCTTAAAATTAGCAGAGAAGGCAAGTGATCTGGTCAAATGTTTCTTTTGGGATGTCTAGAAGGACTTTCTGTAAGGTGCCTGGGTTTCAAGAGATAGCAGTGGAGAGCAGGCAAAAGTGAGTCCGTTCTTTTCCCTTCCAGGCCGAAAGATGAAGCCTTTGCTTCCTCGTGTCAACTCCTACCTGGTTCCAATCCAGTTTCCTTTGAGTCAGCCTCTTGTCTTGCAGCCTTCTGTGAAGGTTCCTCTGTCCATGGCACAGGGAGCATCACTTAACAGCTTGGAGACTTCGCAGAGCAATAAGTGTGTGTGCATTGCTCCAAAGGTTGGTTTCATGTTTTCCAAGGAGTTTTCAGGGGGGTTAGTGGGGTTTTTTTCCTGTCTTTTTCCCTGTCTTTTTTTTCATTAGGGGGGTGAGGAGGGGGCTAAGGAGGGTAGGGGGATTTTTTTTTAAGGATGTGTGTGTTTGTTTGGATTTTTTGTTTACTTTTTTTTTTAATATCTCTTGTCTTCAATGAACCTTTTCTTCATATGGTTCCTTTGTGCGTCTTTACTTAGGTGCTCTAAAACTCCAAGCTACTATGAAGGAACTAGCTAGTGATAATCCTTGCTATCCTTTACTGTCTTTAGGCTGACTACTACCTGCCAGTTTATTTGCTCTAAGGATGTTTCTATAATTCACTAGAGGAAAGGACTCTATAGCTTGGTCAGGAAAATTTTTCTTTACTGCTGGGATGTGAAGAAAGAAAAATGAGAGGAATGCCTTTGTTCTGATCCTAAAACATTCATATTTTTGATAGCTCTTTAGACAAGTAACAATAAGGAACTTCTGAAAGGGAATATATTTCACGTATCCTCTTCCCAGAGGATTTCCGTATCTGCTGTTTGCTAATTCTGTGAAGTTTGCAGTTATTCTGGGCTCAAGAAAAACAGCTATTAAACAGCTCTTTTTCTTGGCGTCTCACTGACTGCTCTTGTATGCTTAGACACTGTAAAGCTTTAGCTTCTTCCATCCTGTCTGACCATAATCCTATTTTCCTTTGTATGCCTGCTGCTTTATGTTCTCTCCAGCTATGACTTATCTTTCTCCTGTGCTCTTTTTCTTTTGATAACCTCATTTTTTTTTTCTCTTCCTTTTCCTTGGTTTCTGGGAAAGCTATCCTCATTCATTTTGTTATTCCCATTTAGATAATGTAAGAAAAAATCAAAGGGGTTATATTTTTTCCAGAAATAATCAGCTTTCCTTCTGCCTGTACTCTCAGAAGTTCTTCAGGGCAGGAGTGCTCTGAAGGGTATGGATTTTGTGACTTAGCTAGAATCCTTGCCATGTGATCCTTAGGCTTCTTTCTATCAGTTTCACAGAGATCAATCTCAGTCTGTTATAATTACTGCTTCCTGAATATCTTCCCCTTACCCTCTCTGCTGACCTTAAATGCATTTCTTTTCTTTCCGCTGTTATTTGGATTTTTGGGTAGCTTAGATCCTTGCTTACTGACTGCATGTCACCTGTGTTTCACTGTAGATGTCACTGTCTGCAGAAGAGTCGCCCTCTTTACCCACAGCTGCTGTAAAGGAGGAGGGTCAATGTGATGCAGGTCTATTTTCCCCAACCCATTCTGTACAGAACAGCTCCCAGCCTGGTGAGGAATTGTCTTCTTTCCCAGAGGGTGCCTGTGTGAAGGAGGAAGAAGGCTCTCAGCTGGATCCCTGGCTGTCCCCATTTGCCTCAACCGTAACGGTCAAGGAAGAGCCAAGCTTGTTCTTCCCAGACTCATCCACAAAGGAGAGGAAACAGTTCACCACACTGAAGTCCCCATCTAAGGCAGTTTCTGACTCTTTAGTTATAAAGAGGAGGGAAAGGCGGGAAGTGGGCAGATCCAGAAGGAAACAACGCCTAGCACTGCCTTGTTCAGAAGAGCCTGTCCTTGTTCTGCCAGAAAGCAGCAGCTTTGACCCTTTCCGGTTAGGGGCAGACCGTCCCTTCCCCCAGGAAAACCAGCCCCTTGAGAACATATCACAGCTTAGCTGCTCACAGGGAGAAGAGGGGGCCTTTAAAACACCAGTCAAAGACATCTTCAGCAAATTGCCCATTTCTTCCACTCCCAGCAAAGTTTCAGCCACTACTACCCCTTCACTAGAGGTCCTTGACCCCTGGAAGTCTGCTTCCTTAGCCAAAGGAAGTCATGAGCTGGACTTCAGTCCTGTGAAAACCCATCAGTTGCCATTCACACCCCTCCAGGACAACCAGGACTTGCTGGGTTTTAACAGCACACCTCTTAAAAATCCTCTCTTTGATTCTCCTCGAGAACTGCTCAATACAGAATCCGGTGACATGGTCCTTGTGCCCCTCACGAGCTCTCCAGCATTTATTCATGACACTTCCAAGCAATCCTCTGTTGAACTGACAGCCTCTGGCTTTACTGAAAACCGGTCACTCATGGAGGGCCTTATCCTGGACACCATGAATGACAGTCTCAGCAAAATCCTTCTAGATATCAGCTTTCCTGGTCTTGAGGATGAAAATTTAGGAACAGACATTAGTTGGTCTCAGCTCATACCTGAACTTAAGTGAACTCGTCTGAGGAATGAACTTGACTTATTCTGATGTTACAGAAAGAACTCCACTCTTCTGAGATTCATTAATGAAATCTAAGACAACTGCTTTTGTCTAGTTCCCACATCCATGAGAGCAGAGAGCATTATTGACTCCTGCTAAGCTGGGAGACAGCCCCATCAGCTGCTATGGGCTTCCTTTTAAGATGCTGTAGACTTTGAGTAGAACAAGATGATAGAATTTCTCTAGCCTTGTGCTACAGATAGCCTCTCTCCAGGGATTCTTATCATGACAACACCTAGGTAGGCCCTGAATGGCATTTGCTATTCAAGGTATCAGAGGAAACAATAGTACAATAGGAAAGAGCCTGGGAATCTCCTCCTAGCTCTGTCCTAATATCCCTTTACTTTATATCCCCTATTACTCGGTATCTTCTGTCTAGTTTTAATGGCTGTAAATACTGTACATTCCTTAAATTAGCCCTTAATTATAATAATAATTTTATTATTGTATGGTTATGGGAATATTTAGCTTGGTAAGGGTTTGACCTAGAGTATGTTGACCATATGTTCACATCTCTTGTATTCTTCTACCCTAGCTGAAAGCCCCTTTTTTTTTTTCTTTTTTCTTTTTTTTTCTTTTTTCTTTTTTTTTTTTTACTTCAGAAACACATTGGTCTAGGCTGTTCTAAAGGTTGCTGGGACAAAGATCTGAATAATTGTTTATATGTGACCCAAGTTAAACTGAAACAGGTTATCTGGATTGCAGCATAAAATCTTGGTTTGGCTGCTTTTTCCCAGGCTGGAATGGAGAAGAACTTGGATCAAGCCATATAGCTCTTCTGATTTCAGAGGTCTATTATGTACCTAGAGGTATGGGTATTGACACTTGCAGTAAGATGGACCTCTGTTGAATGGTTAAAGCTGCCCTCATTACACTCAGCAGTTCAAAATGTAAAAGGGAATATAAAATATATTATATTCCCTTTAAATATAAAGGGAATGCTGATATTTCCACTGAAAATTGACTTCTGCAAACACAAGGTATGTCTCGCTTGGTGCAATAGAAAAACTCCTCCTAGTTCTCTAGAACTTAAGTCATGGAAGAAACTGCCATGGCAAAGATCTGATCCTTCTGCTTGCAGACAAGTGGTGACTCCTGTATCCAAATACTCAATAAAGCTTCTGTGGGAGCACAGCTGAGTGTTATCTGTACCACCCCTAGCAGGTGCTGGGATTGGCCCATAGCACGGGCAACCCCTTCTTATCTCATGTTTGTGTGCTTTGTGATCACTGAGTGACCATTAGGACATTTTCAAGCCTCGTTGGCCAAACCACATTAGATTTAGTTAACCCACTGCTTCATAAAACACACTTTTTCCTGCTGCTTATGGGTAAATCCTGAGTCAGGATTTCTGTCTGAGTCAGAAGCATACAAACATCACAACACCACCAGCAGACGAATTTCTGTATCTTCTAAATGCAAAACAAATATTGCTTGAAACTGTTTCTACCTTCTCCTATAAACATAAAACCAGTTTTGGATGTGTGTGGTTTTCAGAACCGCAGTGCTCCTGTGTACTACTTAGAGGTTATTTGCCCTCATAAAATGTTTCCAAAGTTTGGTTTAATGGTTATTTCAGTTTTTGTGGGCTTATAAAGCTGCAGAAGAGGCCTGGTTTTGCACACTTTCTACTAGTACATGTTACACAGCTGTTAACACTCTGCTTGGCTCCTTCAAGGCATCCTCTTGCCCTTTCATCTCACTTCTTGCTCCTGAGAGGCTGTGTGCACATAACTGACACATGAGAGCCAGCTAAATAAGATCATGTCTCCAGCAAATACTGAAATTTTCTTGTCTTTGGTGTCAATTCCAGGGAGGTGCAACCCTGCTGTCCCTGTCAGCTGAGGTGTTCGATGGACCCATCACATTTTATTTTGAGCATAGTAGTGCCAAAGTTTTGTTTCCCTTCTTGTTACATATTCCAGTGAGAGCACTGCTCAAGGGCAATTATATCAAAAAAGGTGGAGGGAACAGCAGAAAAAAATACAATAAGCAATTCTACCTCTTGCCAGAAGAGCTTTTCCAGTGTTTTGGCCAAAGTAGTTCAAAGCACCAGGTGGTGAGGACTTATTCACAAAATATTACTATTTATCTTCATTTATATTTGCCTGATATTCTGCCTGGATGCTTTCCTTAAGGAAAGGCAGTTATCACTTGTCCCTCTGCAGGCTCAGAATTAAGGTTATAGTGTAAAGGTGTGATCTTGTCAGACAATGGATGCCTCTGTCCACCCTCCTGCAGTAAGAACAGGCCCATACTTCATGTCTTCTCATCAACCCAAGAGCAGGAAGGCACAGCTCTTCACACCCTTTGCACAGCACTCCCTGGGCTTCTCTGAGTAACATGTAGGAGCATCCCAGGACTGTCCTTGCATTCTGATAATAGACAAAGCTCTTTAACACCTTCCAGCTTGTAAAAGCAAACAATTTAATATAAAAATTTTAGGGGCTCTTGGACAGGCAAATCTACAGGGAGCCAGCAAGTACTGTGGATGCTCTGCTCCTCTGACAATTCTGCTCCATACCCGGAGTGTGACACACAAAGGAGAAGGTAATTCCCTGTCATTGGTTGAGTGGGGTTCCTCCCCCTATGTTTTGTCAGCTGAGAAGGACTGGATGCCCCCTGAGATGACATAAGCAAGGACAATTGCCACCCTTTTACTTTTGCAACTTGTCTGGTAGCAGAAAAACTTGATCACTTCCCCATATGGAAGAAAAGAGACCCTGTTTTACATTGCAGAAATATTTTTATGAGGATGTCAGGCCTTCATTTCTCCCCAAAGGCAGTTTAGCTCTTAACAAAGGTGAAAATTTCTTTTTTAGTAAACTACCTGGCTTCCTCTTTGTCCTAGGGTGAGGTTATGATGCTTGTATCCCCAATCGTGTGTTCTGTTGGTGCTGGATATTACGTACTGTGCCTTCAAGACTGGCTCTGAAGAGCAAGGTTTGTTTTGGTTTGTTATTAGCCTGCTCCCCCACAGCTGGCGGGACAGTACATAGTGCGGCTTTTGCTTTTTGCTGCTTTGCTCTTGCTCCTGCTTCGCTCCTGCTTTGCTCCCGCTCTGCTTTTGCTTTTTTTGCTTCTGTTAGTTAGTTTAGCTAAGCGGTCCAGATTTTTTCCCTGGACTGTTTTTCCCTTCCCTTTTTGGAATCATTCAAACCTGCTCCGGACTGGGACCTGGGAAACACCAAGAGTTTACATCTGGTGGCTGCAGCAGCTATCCCCAGCGTGCTTTGTGATCACTGAGTGACCATTAGGACATTTTCAAGCCTCGTTGGCCAAACCACATTAGATTTAGTTAACCCACTGCTTCATAAAACACACTTTTTCCTGCTGCTTATGGGTAAATCCTGAGTCAGGATTTCTGTCTGAGTCAGAAGCATACAAACATCACAACACCACCAGCAGACGAATTTCTGTATCTTCTAAATGCAAAACAAATATTGCTTGAAACTGTTTCTACCTTCTCCTATAAACATAAAACCAGTTTTGGATGTGTGTGGTTTTCAGAACCGCAGTGCTCCTGTGTACTACTTAGAGGTTATTTGCCCTCATAAAATGTTTCCAAAGTTTGGTTTAATGGTTATTTCAGTTTTTGTGGGCTTATAAAGCTGCAGAAGAGGCCTGGTTTTGCACACTTTCTACTAGTACATGTTACACAGCTGTTAACACTCTGCTTGGCTCCTTCAAGGCATCCTCTTGCCCTTTCATCTCACTTCTTGCTCCTGAGAGGCTGTGTGCACATAACTGACACATGAGAGCCAGCTAAATAAGATCATGTCTCCAGCAAATACTGAAATTTTCTTGTCTTTGGTGTCAATTCCAGGGAGGTGCAACCCTGCTGTCCCTGTCAGCTGAGGTGTTCGATGGACCCATCACATTTTATTTTGAGCATAGTAGTGCCAAAGTTTTGTTTCCCTTCTTGTTACATATTCCAGTGAGAGCACTGCTCAAGGGCAATTATATCAAAAAAGGTGGAGGGAACAGCAGAAAAAAATACAATAAGCAATTCTACCTCTTGCCAGAAGAGCTTTTCCAGTGTTTTGGCCAAAGTAGTTCAAAGCACCAGGTGGTGAGGACTTATTCACAAAATATTACTATTTATCTTCATTTATATTTGCCTGATATTCTGCCTGGATGCTTTCCTTAAGGAAAGGCAGTTATCACTTGTCCCTCTGCAGGCTCAGAATTAAGGTTATAGTGTAAAGGTGTGATCTTGTCAGACAATGGATGCCTCTGTCCACCCTCCTGCAGTAAGAACAGGCCCATACTTCATGTCTTCTCATCAACCCAAGAGCAGGAAGGCACAGCTCTTCACACCCTTTGCACAGCACTCCCTGGGCTTCTCTGAGTAACATGTAGGAGCATCCCAGGACTGTCCTTGCATTCTGATAATAGACAAAGCTCTTTAACACCTTCCAGCTTGTAAAAGCAAACAATTTAATATAAAAATTTTAGGGGCTCTTGGACAGGCAAATCTACAGGGAGCCAGCAAGTACTGTGGATGCTCTGCTCCTCTGACAATTCTGCTCCATACCCGGAGTGTGACACACAAAGGAGAAGGTAATTCCCTGTCATTGGTTGAGTGGGGTTCCTCCCCCTATGTTTTGTCAGCTGAGAAGGACTGGATGCCCCCTGAGATGACATAAGCAAGGACAATTGCCACCCTTTTACTTTTGCAACTTGTCTGGTAGCAGAAAAACTTGATCACTTCCCCATATGGAAGAAAAGAGACCCTGTTTTACATTGCAGAAATATTTTTATGAGGATGTCAGGCCTTCATTTCTCCCCAAAGGCAGTTTAGCTCTTAACAAAGGTGAAAATTTCTTTTTTAGTAAACTACCTGGCTTCCTCTTTGTCCTAGGGTGAGGTTATGATGCTTGTATCCCCAATCGTGTGTTCTGTTGGTGCTGGATATTACGTACTGTGCCTTCAAGACTGGCTCTGAAGAGCAAGGTTTGTTTTGGTTTGTTATTAGCCTGCTCCCCCACAGCTGGCGGGACAGTACATAGTGCGGCTTTTGCTTTTTGCTGCTTTGCTCTTGCTCCTGCTTCGCTCCTGCTTTGCTCCCGCTCTGCTTTTGCTTTTTTTGCTTCTGTTAGTTAGTTTAGCTAAGCGGTCCAGATTTTTTCCCTGGACTGTTTTTCCCTTCCCTTTTTGGAATCATTCAAACCTGCTCCGGACTGGGACCTGGGAAACACCAAGAGTTTACATCTGGTGGCTGCAGCAGCTATCCCCAGCGCCGGAGGGAGCAACAACAGAGCGACCACTCCCAGGAAAGACTTTCTGAATTTGTCATCCTTTTCAGATCGGTGAAAGTGTTGTCATCTCATATTGTTCATTTTGTGTGCTGGCAGTGTTTTGCTTGTTAAATAAACTGGTTCTTTCCACTTCTCTCCGAGGAATCCTTCCCGAACCGGTGGGGCGAAGGGGCTGTGTGTGGGTTTGCTTTCTGGGGGGGCCCCTTTTGGAGGTTTTCTCCCAGATTTGCCCTAATCCAGGACACTCTTTAAAATGCACAATAGGCTCTGAGAGAAAAA